TACAAAGAGTGAAACAGGTAGTAGGTATTCTTTGACTATAATTTAAATAAATATTACACAAAGACTGAAACAGATGGTAAGTATGTTTGACTTCTAATTTAATCTTATTATACTAAAACACAAGCTGATGAAGGTAAATTTGTGACTATATGCTAGAAACATACAAGCTGATTAATTGGTAATGCTTTGACTTCTAATTTAAATAACCTATTATACTAAAACACAAGCTGATGGTAAGTATGCTTTGACTTCTAATTTAAATAACTATTATACTAAAACACAAGCTGATGGTAAGTATGCTTTGACTTCTAATTTAAATAACTATTATACTAAAACACAAGCTGATGGTAAGTATGCTTTGACTTCTAATTTAAATAACTATTATACAAAGAATGAGATTGATAGCAGAGTAAATGGTAAAGTAGTACACCATAGCAATCAATTAAATTATAAAAATTTTAATACCCGACAAAATATTATAAGAATTTATTTTAGTAATGTTAAATTTATTGAATTTACACTTTTATTAATAAATCCATCTGATAACTCTAAAACAATTAAATTAGATATGATGGCAGATAAGATTAAAAAAAAATTTATCATTAAAGTAACAAATGATAATGAAAAAAGATAGTTAATGCATTACTAGATTTATATCACGTATACTGTGTTGATGATAAAGATAATAATATTTTATTAATTATTGAACCAAAAATCTTCAGTTTCATTAGGTTATGACGAATGGAAAGAAAATGGATGGCAGCATTTAATGGATTAACCAAATTCAAGTTTATTCACAACATCAATCTACATTATCTATGTCATTTAATGGTTTTCACAAAATTTTAGGGCTACTATAGAAGATAATATTCTATCAACTAAAAATTTGTAAATGATGAAATCGAAAAATTAAAAATTTATTAAAAATAACTATCAAGCTAAAACTTAAGATGAAGAATAATCCTCATGTTTGACTACATATCACATAACTGTTTGTAATAAGTAATTAATACAAAAGCGATATACAAAAGATTCAAAATCCTGAAACAATTATTAAAAACACTTTTACAAAATTATATAACACTCGCTTGACAGACAAATTAAAAAACATATAGATTCCATAGTTTTGTAAAACATTGTATTATACATGCGCTGATGAAATGTGCTATCTACATTAAACAACCATTGTTAAGAACATGCACTAAGACACGCGCCTGACAGACAGATTAAAAAACATATAGATTCCATAGTTTGTAAAACATTGTATTATTATACATGCGCTGATGAAATGTGCTATCTACATTAAACAACCATTGTTAAGAACATGCACTAAGACACGCGCCTGACAGACAGATTAAAAACATATAGATTCCATAGTTTGTAAAACATTGTATTATTATACATGCGCTGATGAAATGTGCTATCTACATTAAACAACCATTGTTAAGAACATGCACTAAGACACGCGCCTGACAGACAGATTAAAAAACATATAGATTCCATAGTTTGTAAAACATTGTATTATTATACATGCGCTGATGAAATGTGCTATCTACATTAAACAACCATTGTTAATAACATGCACTAAGACACGCGCCTGACAGACAGATTAAAAACATATAGATTCCATAGTTTGTAAAACATTGTATTATTATACATGCGCTGATGAAATGTGCTATCTACATTAAACAACCATTGTTAAGAACATGCACTAAGACACGCGCGCTGCTACTGAAATTTTAATAACACTTGATTATTAACACTTGATTATTAAAGACGGTTTTTTGAAGAGCATTTCTTAAACCTCTGTTATTCTCGAATATTCTTCGAATATTCTTCGAATCCATGGGAGGTGACCCCAATTTTCACTTCGTGAAAATTTTCCAACGTCGCCTAGAATTATCGGGGGCTCCATCCCCTGCTCGATCACTTCGTGATCTGCGCTGCCGAGCCCCCTCAAAACCAATGCTTTCTTAACATTTGTTTGTAAAGACTGTTTTTAAAAACATATAGATTCCATATTTTGAAAAGATGTTTTATTAACACTTGATTTCTAAAGATAGTTTTTAAAGAGCATTTCTTAAGCCTCTGTCGTCCTTCGGACACCACAGGAGCGAGCCGAAAATTCTAGCTAAAGCTAGAATTTTTTACCCACCAGGCTCGCATGAATTCTCGGCGATCCCATCCCCCTGCTCAATTTTAGCTACGCTAAAATTTGCGCTGCCGGATCGCCTCCGAACCGATGCTTTCTTAACATTTGTTTGTAAAGATAGTTTTTAAAACATATAGATTCCATATTTTAAACGATAGATTGTAAACTCGAGTTTTTTACCCCCCTTTGAAACAATGACTTTTTACACAGCTTTGAACCAGGGCCTTTTGCGAGGGGACGCCTTTGAACCATGGTCTTATTTTAAGCTGTTATAAAAATAGTTTTTACCCACAGGTGTAGTAGTAATATACATGGGGGATTCGAATACATAAAAAGTAAACTTTTTATGGATTCGTACCCCCATGTATATTACTACTCATATGATCAAAGTATTCATATATAAATATTACTCTTCCAATTTTAGAGGCTAGACACTCCACTGTGTAACACAGTACACTACTAACTATACTTGGATAAATATTGGATACACAAGTAAGATATACTCAATCACAGAGGCTCAAACTACTGTCAATTTTAATTTCTCATATAGACTTCACTTTAACCTAAACAAACCTATAAAAATTTTCGCACAGACATTGAACATGGGCGTGAAATATTATTTTGAATAGTCACAAGAAAAAATTGATGTCCGAATGGTGTTTCAAGAGAGGCTAAAGTTTAACTTCTTTGTTATTAAATTAGCACTTGCCGGCCAATCTATCATTCTTTCTGAAAATGTTTTAAAACAAACCACAATTATTTATGCTTCATCTTGTTCTTCATCATCAGGATTATCATCATCACTGTCAACTTCTGCATTTTGATGTTCAAGTTTTTCCAGTTCCTTTGCAAAGTCTGCTTCATCCATATCTGTGACAACCTTTGGCTGAATAGACAAAAATGACAATCAATGGAGGAAATTTGTATTTCAAATTGATCATTTGAGATCAGGAAGCAAATACAAGGGCACAAATGTGTGGTAACATGAGGAAATGTTAAAGTAACAACTTACAAATTCGCAAATTACATAATGGAGATGGAGATGGTACAGGGATTGTAAAGATATAGCTGGGGATGGTATAGGGATGGTAAAGATATAGCTTGGGGATGGTATAGGGAATGTAAAGATATAGCTTGGGGATGGTATAGGGATTGTAAAGATATAGCTTGGGGATGGTATAGGGATGGTAAAGATATAGAATGGGGATGGTATAGGAATTGTAAAGATATAGCTTGGGGATGGTATAGGAATTGTAAAGATATAGCTTGGGGATGGTATAGAGATTGTAAAGATATAGCTTGGGGATGGTTAGGGAAGGTAAAGATATAGCTTAGGGATGGTAAAGGGAATTGTAAAGATATAGCTTGATGGTATAGAGGGTGTAAAGATATAGCTTGGGGATGGTATAGGGATGGTAAAAGAATATAGAATGGGGATGGTATAGGAATTGTAAAGATATAGCAGGGATGGTATAGGAATTGTAAAGATATAGCTTGGGGATGGTATAGGGATGGTAAAGATATAGAATGGGATGGTATAGGAATTGTAAAGATATAGCTTGGGGATGGTAAAGATATAGAATGGGGATGGTATAGGAATTGTAAAGATATAGCTTGGGGATGGTATAGGGATTGTAAAAATATAGCTTGGGGATGGTATAGGGATTGTAAAAATATAGCTTGGGGATGGTAAAGATATAGCTGGGGATGGTATAGGAATTGTAAAGATATAGCTTGGGGATGATATAGGGATTGTAAAAATATAGCTTGGGGATGGTATAGGGATGGTAAAGATATAGCTTGGGGAAGGTATAGAGATTGTAAAGATATAGCTTGGGGATGGTTAGGGAAGGTAAAGATATAGCTTGGGGATGGTATAGGAATTGTAAAGATATAGCTTGGGGATGGTATAGGGATAGTAAAGATATAGAATGGGGATGGTATAGAGATTGTAAGATATAGCTTGGGGATGGTATAGGATGTAAAGATATATAGCTTGGGGATGGTATAGGGATGGTAAAGATATAGCTTGGGATGGTATAGGAATTGTAAAGATATAGCTTGGGGATGGTATAGGGAAGGTAAAGATATAGCTTGGGATGGTATAGGAATGTAAAATATAGCTTGGGGATGGTATAGGGATTGTAAAGATATAGCTTGGGGATGGTATAGGGATTGTAAAGATATAGCTTGGGGATGGTATAGGGAATGTAAAAGATATAGCTTAGGGATGGTAGAGGAATGTAAAATATAGCTTAGGGATGGTATAGGGATGGTAAAGATATAGCTTGAGGGATGGTTAGGGAAAGGTAAAGATATAGCTTAGGAATGGTATAGGAATTGTAAAGATATAGCTTGGGGATGGTATAGGGATGGTAAAGATATAAAATGGGGATGGTATAGGAATTGTAAAGATATAACTTGGGGATGGTATAGGAATTGTAAAGATATATGGAAGGATGGTATAGGGATGGTAAAGATATAGAATGGGGATGGTATAGGAATTGTAAAGATATAGCTTGGGGATGGTATAGGGAAGGTAAAGATATAGCTTGGGGATGGTATAGGAATTGTAAAGATATAGCTTGGGGATGGTATAGGGATTGTAAAGATATAGCTTGGGGATGGTATAGGTATGGTAAAGATATAGAATGGGGATGATATAGTAATTGTAAAGATATAGCTTGAGGATGGTATAGAAATTGTAAAGATATAGCTTGGGGATGGTATAGGGATGGTAAAGATATAGCTTGGGGATGGTATACGGAAGGTAAAGATATAGCTTGGGGATGGTATAGAGATTGTAAAGATATAGCTTAGGGATGGTATAGGGATTGTAAAGATATAGCTTAGGGATGGTATAGGGATCGTAAAGATATAGCTTGGGGATGGTATAGGGATGGTAAAGATATAGCATGGGGTTGATACAGGGTTTGAAAGTATTGGTAATGGGTTGGTAGGGGTCATCACTTTTTATCGATACAATATATTTCTCATGCCATAGTAGACACTTACAGCTTGTTGTAAAACAAATGTTCCTTTCTTGTTCATAATGACTTCTTCAATGGCTTTGATAGATGTTTCCAAAGCTTTCAAACCTTCTTCTCGATTCATTGTTGTTGTCGTGACAACATAGGTTGGTGGTGAAATGGGATTTATCTTAAAGAAGAAAACAGTTTACAATCAAACAATGATATTTTTAAAAGATCTTTTATCAATGTATGTTATTTAGGCCTGGCACAGCTATTGTAAGATATAATTACATTGCTGTGCACATTTGGAACATCTATAAATAATTAAATCTTGTTTTCGTGAACATCAAAATGTTCATCCTCATTGTGTTTATGTAGCAATATTGCAATTTGATGCATTTCAATGAGAATGATCTGTCATATACAGTGGTGTGAAACAAAGCTTCATGCTATTCTTGGTTCTTAAGGCTCATTTTCCTTGACAACTCATTTATTGACAGTTGTCTTGTTGTATACAATGTTCAGTAGTATATATAATAATCATTCTACAATTGAAATCTTGACATAAACATACTTAAAAGTTAAAATGACATGATGAATATGAGGTGTAGCTTTATTGGTTAAGAATAGTTCATGTACGACGTCACATGATGTTAATGTTGATTCATAATGGTTTCAAAAAAGCTTGGCTGACTGATAATTATGCTAATAAACACATAACCCAGGCTGTCACATGTTACAATCGTAAACAAAATCTCAGCAAACTTTTGGCATAAATACAAAGCAGTTTTAAAATTCAAAAGGAGTAAAGATCTTTTTATAAAGTCTAAGGATGATCAATGATTGCAGTACAATAGAACTTACCTAAATGAAGTCATAATATTAAATGTCGCTCGATTTTGAAATAGAAATACAAACAATTCGTTATGTTGATGATGGCACAAAATATGTACAAAGATATAACGCAGATTGTTTAATCAGTTGCATTTTTCAATGCAAAATTTTCAAGAACCTCAAACGGTAATACTCAAAATACAGACGAACAATTGGGACATTCTGACTGAGGATAACTTTGAAATAAAGTCGAAAATTTACAGTTCACTTCTCGTCTTGTTTTGAGGCATATTTTGCAATCTCAAGATGTCTTGCTTCTTCGAAATTTGTTTTATACAAGTTTACAGTTTGAGTTTACATGACTGACTTTACCGATTCTAAGAAACATCCGGTGGAAACTATCGGTATTCGCCGATTATTATTCGATGTCTGACGTAAAAATGGTCGTGACGTATTCAGTGACGTAATCAGTTTCCGACGTATAAATTCTTATTATCATATCTTGTTACGCTCTTATGCCCTCATTTACACAAGAGATTCAGCAATGAAAACACAAAACAGAAAATACGACATCGAAAAGTACATTTGTTCTAATTAGTAAATATTTCAATTATCATTATGTTCACGGCGAACTTGTACAAATTATAGATATTTATAGTTCATCAGGAATTGAAGAAAGATTTAAATCATACAATTCAATAAGAAGTTTCCAATATAAAAGTACGAGTAAAAATATTAGATATTCAGTCTGACTTTCTGCTCCAGGTTCCATCTTTTGATCCTCTGCAACACTCTGAAAGTTTTGTGAACGGGAATTATTTTCGTCTTGACGTACTTTCTTCAAGCTCTAGAGATTTTTCTCTCGCTCGTATTTGATTCAAGTAAACACTTGATTTTTTCACCGTTTTCGCTCCTTTCCTTACTTTGTATAAAATCGAATGTAAATACAGTTGACCAACTTTAACAACTTATATCGTTCATTCTGTCACAGCTACCTCACACAAGTGGCCGATCACCAACTGCTTTATGAAGGAACGAAACAATAAGGATATACACACCAATCCCTCAAGAACTTCTTTCTTTTTTCTACATGTCGATTGACTAATGCAAAACCAGTTTGCATTATCTCGAAAACTAGTTTGACCAGTGCAACAATCATGCTTCATCAGGGGAAAGTCCCTTTCCTAATACCCATCATGAACCAACTCATTTGTGTCGTTTCCGCTTTTATCTTTACTTTGCATAAAATAAAAATATATAAACAATTGACCAACTTCTACCACCTTACATCGTTTATTGTTGACATAAAAAAGCTTTTTCGGTGTCATTCCTCAGCCAGTGGCCATTGTGTTGTCACAGCAAGCCATTTACAATCCCACCTAAAGATATAGAGGTCATGACATTTTGTGCATTCTAAACAATCTCTAGCTCTATACTACATAGTAAGTATTTCAAATTGAAAATCAAGTCTATTTAATTGTTGCGAAAGCCACACAAGATAATCCGTCAATGGCTGGAGAGAATTTTCCTTTTTTATCAGAAATTGACAAATCAATGAGCATACGAAAAAGGAAGGGAATTAAACAATGAAATGCAAAAATGTCTTAAACAATCAGTGTGAAGAAAAGTTCAGCGAAACCAGAATGAATTGGTTCACACTAAAAATGTCGAGACGAGTTCCAAGCGAACAACATATTCCTGTGCAAATTGTCCATAATATACAGAATGGTTCTTAGTTAAACAGTGCCGTTTTTTGTTACTGTGTGTTATGTCAATGTAGGACAGTGCATCATAAGATCTGTGGACAGAGCGTATTAAGGGAAGAAACAATATAATTGTTTTAGAGGAAAATTACAGAAAACAATGTCACAAAAAATTCTTCAGTGTAGTCGGCCCTGGGTAAGCAAAAGTCCTTCTTGACTAAATTGACTATGCAATTTTCTGTTGTCGCGTGTAATGTCCGTTTTGTGTCGTGTTTGTCAAGAAATTATGAACAGTGAACTTTGCTTTAGAAATTAGAATACACAAGCCATGAGCCACCAGCTCAATAAAACGTGTTTCCCAGGGAATATAATAACGAGATAATCATTTTCTCCAAAGAGTACGTTCTTACAAGTTAGTGTGCTATAAATGTGGTTGATATTCAAAGACATGGAAAGCGAACTTCGTCGCTAAAATTTAACATAGTAAAATTTTCTATAGGCAATAATATCTCCAAGACATTTTACGTACTTTGAAGATCAGCTACAAAGCATTCAGCAACCCTTTCTTTACTTAACACTTCACAGTTAAATTTCGCAGTGAGCAGTGGACAAGAGCCTAAAATGCAAAATATTATGGCACGGAAGATTAAAATCATGGTTTACAATCAAACGGCCAATTTTACGTCTTGCGGTCAATGTTATAAAAATTGGCCGTCATAATTAACTTGTTTAGAGATGAACTGTTTAGGAATGAAACAATCCAATGACAGCAATAATCACTTAACAATGATCTCGTTATTAAAAGGTTAAAAGCTGTGAAATAAAACGATTTAAAATGGATAAGTTAATCTGAAACATAGCCTTTAGAACAATGACTTTGAAATTCAAAAATTTCAATAAACCTTCAACTCAAGGTCTCAAAGAGTTGTGAAATTGAGTGTGTGAGGAGCGATTATAGAAGACCCGTCCATTTTTAAAGGCACCCTTACAGGCTTACACATTCGAGGTTTATCCGCGTAGAAAATAGAACATATAATAGTTAATAGTGGCGTTTATCACTAAACTAAAATATCGTTTAGTTCTTTTCGTTTTAGTTCTCGTTTACGATCTTGTGGTGTTGATCACTTTGGTAGTTGTGGTTCGTATAGCATAGTAAAAAAAGTGTCAAATATGAATATAATAATGTATAAAAAGTTATAGCCACCTCTTGTACTTAAGGCAATTTGTCACAAATAGAAGATTAAGAATCTAGTGAATATTGCGATAACGTGATTACCGTATGCGCTCGAAAATCTCGTACACTTGCACAGTTTTGCGAACGTAGCATTTACGTTATAGTAAATAAAGTTGCCTTCAAAAAAAATAAAAAACATTGTCGTTAACTTATAGAAATGTAACTTATACGTATAAGAAAATTTTCGCAGTGAAAGCAGAAGCATGGCGCAAAATCAGTAAATTTATCAATATTTAGCACAAACCTTATTAGATCAAGCACAGAATGTATTGGTTCAACGTTTTCTTCGTTCGGTTCTGGTTCTTTCACGTTAACATTTCCAGGTTAAATGCAAATAAACAAATTACTCCCCAAACATTGTAGTCATAAGATAATACAGCAATGTTCTTCTTCCCAATTTTCCGCTCTGTTTTGACTCCAATTCAGCGACTGACAAAAGCAGGCTGGATACAATCAAAGGAAGAACCAAAATTCTTAAAGCTCTCACCCAAATCTTACCAAGAAACGAAACGTACATTGCATATTTCTTAGGTGTTGGATCTATGGACGACTGAGCATTGCCATGTAATAAAGAACCGAGTAAAAATCCACAAAGTACGCCGAATAAAATGAAAAATAATATATGTTGTTTGGCATGTTTTAATCCATTGTAGCAACGCTTTCTTGAAGTCACTGTCGAAAATTTGTAGCTCTGAATACAACTCAAAGCAACAAATAAACACTGACTCTCAACTTCAAAATAACAAAGATCATAAATATACAGCGCCATTGACTATATATAAATATTCAATACATATTAGAGACTTAGGTCACGTGTTTTTCTTTCCAGATTTTAACAGCCAAGGGGGAAATCCCTTTTAAACGCTTTGAAATAAATGGAGAGAAGGCTAAACTAATTTACAAAACAAATGCTAATCGTCGTCATCACAATAATTGGAAACTTGTGATAGGAAAAATAAAATAGAAATCACTATAAGAGCCCTTACAAACAGTATTTCAAAACATTCTGTTTTTATCGAATCTACAACTGGCAGTAAATACTAAAAATTTGTAAACTTGGCAATGGAAAAATACATAATTGGTAGTGAGGATGGTTTGCTAAAATTAAAAATTTCACTCAGTCGATTTCATCGTGAAGACAATGTCTCACGACGCAAACTAGCATCATAAATAATTTCTATGGAAACAATTATGTAGGAATGTATGAGTTTATATCAGTGGTTTATGCATTATAACGCATGTAAAAAATTACCATTCAACAAATATTAATAATTACATTAATAAAAATAAATATTATTAAGAAAGATATTTACAAAAACGTACAAATTATTTTAAATGGTTCATTAGTACATAAGATTAAAGTATGCCTTTCTTCCATTGATTATTGAATGGTTAAAACAAAATATTTTCTTGAGTTCTTGCGTTTTACACAAACCTATTTATCATAAAAAATGTGCATGATTATTTCTTTCAGTATAAATCATTTTACGTTGAAGTTGACGAATCTTTAAAGTTTTTCTAACGTTGATTGAACATTTAAAACCAAATCTTCGTTCAGCATGTCCATCACACATCTATCTCCTCTTGTCAAGTCTTGCAGGTCAAACAAAAATTGTTCAGGAAGCGTTTCTTGAATGGGTAAATTTAGAATTGGTTGAGTATTTTCACCATCTTCCATACTTTCATTTTCCACTGCACTGTCGTATCTTATGTTCCCATCTTCTAACCCATTGTAATGATTTTCTTTACCGTTGTTTTCTTTTTTAGCACAGGTATTTTCACCTTTGTTGTTCATCTTTTTGTAAATGACGATCTAAAGATAATTAGATTAGGGAAAGAGGCATAATCTGGACTATTCTACAAAATAGCCAACTTATTACGAATTTCAAATTTCACCACTCTCAGACGGTGAAACTATAGATTTCTAGAGAAATTATCAATGGTATTGTTCTGAAACTTGCAAAGTACATCTTTCCGTCTGGAATTCATAAGTATTTTGTTTTTATATCACGTGATCATTTTCTGAAACATTTGCGGGCTTGTAGGGTTGTACGCACATGACCCACACTGACTACATAGAAATGTAGAAAAAATTGAAGATCATAGACGATTTTCTTTCACCCAGTATAATAATAATAAATTAAAATTGTGAATATTTTTTTTCCAAAAGCGAAAAAAACAGACAAATAAACAACTCGGGGTTTGCTCTAATTGCGGAGTTTGCTCGGAGTCAAAATAATTTTAGTTCACAATGTCGATAACTTTGCTAAAATGTACTGCAGTATATTTTTGATATCAAAAAATTAGTTCAAAACGATCGGAAAAACGATCCAGCAGGAAAAATGCCGAAACGAATGAAACTTGTTTCATACTATCATTTGACGAAGCGTTGTTGAAATGTATGGTTCGAATCTTAAGAATAGCAAATTATTTTATTACCTAGTGTAAAATAAAATAGATAAGTCATATCTACCTTTTCTTTTAAAGCCAAGTTAGCCACGTAAAGAAATATACAAGAAATACACGCTTTTACTTTTCCACTATGGTTCTGTGCAGACGGCTGTCACTGTTTATAAGACACTTCTTTGGAGAGTTTCTTAATAAAACCTTATTCCACCAATAAGATTAAAGATATTAGATCATATTTATCCATGCACAGCATGGCGTATGCACACACGCAGATAAAGAGAAATCATACTCAAATGCAAAAAACGCATCGTAGTGATCCACACGCTCACAGTGTTTCAAATTCGTTTTATAAAAATTCAAAACACAGTATTCCTTTCCTTTTGTAATACGGACACTAATTGACACCAACGTAAATACCACGAACAAACGGTCATGTATTGAAAAATTAAGAAGAGTTTACACTATACCGGACTCGCTCATCACGACATCTTCATTTGTTTAAAGGTTTAACTGCCTGGGGATTAAATGATTATTAAGTTAGTAGATTTAGTCTATTTGATTGTGCTTCTGACATTAAACAATATCACTTCCTTTCAATACAAAGAATATTCAACCTGCTACGATAGCAATCCGGTATAGTGTGTAAACGGGGCTTAAAACGCCACAAAAATTCCTGAAGATCTCTTGAGTAAGACATATCGTCACACGAAGTCTGCCTGACACATGGTGGACAAAAGTACATTTTATAACAATAGCAATAATATGGCTTTATGAACGGTTGCTCATTTGCATCAAGGAGATTCACTAGGTTAGAAAAGCAATGTGATTTCATGTTATCATTGGCGCTTTAAACGGCAAGAGTATTTTATTGACCGCATGCTGGCAAGAGTACATTTTATGTGTTAATAGGATGATCACTACAGATGCACACGCCCACAGTGTTTCAAATCCTTTTATAAAAATTCCAACATCAAATTAGTAGCAACTGATTAAAAATGCAACACCATTTGTCGGACGGACACTAATTGCCATACACGTAATATACGTAAAATACCAGGAACATCGGGTAATGTATTGAGGAATAAGACTGCGTTTACACAATACCGGATTGGCTCATCACGATTCATGTCAACTGCAACATATTAATCTTTACAAGTAAAGATTAATAATTTAAATGAAGCAATTGCTTTGCTACCGCTTGCTTTTAGCATGAAAATTTTGTAAAATAAACTTTGGAAAACTGCTTGTCCAATTACTCCTAGTTTAATATTTGAATATTATACATACATACAGTGTTACTTCTTGCTGTTACTTTTATAAATTAATTTAAAGTAAACGGTTTGAGCCCGGGAGTATCGTTACATGTTTGTAAATGTAGATCGTCCAGGTTGGTATAGTCCTGAGAAGGACTGTTTTTGTTGTTGTTGACTGACGTTTCGTGAACCTTAGCGGTAGTCATCTTCAGAGTCAGTTTTTGTCAAAACTTGTTGGGTTGGTTTCGCTAAGGTTATCGAAACGTCGAAACCTGGACGATCTACATCTACAAACATGTAACGATACTCCCGGGTTCAAACAATTTACTTTATTACGATCATTTGGACGACAGAGCGAACAACTTGCTAACGACTACATACGTTTTGCAAGCAACGTCAGACGCATACGCCAACAACTCTGGTTCAACCACCGCTGCGTAAGAAAGAACCGGAAACAAATATGGCTAACCTGACGTTTACTCCTCATTTGATTCTGAAGATGACTACCGCCAAGGTTGTCGAAACATCAGTCAACAACAACAAAAACAGTCCTTCTCAGGAGTATGCCAACCTGAACGATCTACATTTACAAACATGTAATAAATTAAATTAGTTATATGAGAATTTGAAAATAAAAGTTTGTACAATTACTTTGTCTAAATTAAGTGACAAAATATAAAAGATATTGCTGTTTGTTGCTCATCACATCAATTGTATGTTTTAAAAATTACTGTGCTTTTGTCCATTTGGTATTGTGTCGCTTATACTTTTATGTCAACAGACACAAAAGAAAAACAGTTGTCCAATTATATCTAATACATATTAAAGAGCATTTCAAATAACCAATCAAAAACCATAACACATTTTGTATGAAACATGTTTAGCTCCTAAGTTAAACATAAAGTGCTACTTGAATAAGAACATGACAAACTCTGCTTGTTTTATTCTTTTCTCTGACGCTGCAAAAAACAACAGCTCATTAAACATACGTCAGTTGTATGATTTCAAATCTTTGATACATCATACAAGTGGGCAAAATGTCCAATGGACTCAAGTGATGTCCTTCTGATAATAGTTACCCAGTCAGACAAAGCAAACATGAGACAGTCATTGTGTAAATGGTGTGAACATGTGCTTTATTTTATTTTGTTTTGGAGACACATAACTTTTCTTCAATATGCAAAAGACATTGTTATGATATCACAATGCATAATTAGCTTTAGGAAAAACTAATTTTTGCTTACAGTTAACATAAATTATTGCCAATGTCACAAGGTTCTAATATTATTGATTTCAATGCATTGGGATGGTGTCATTGTAATTTTTAAATAAACAACTCATTATTGAATATGTCCCTCTTAATACAGCATGGGGTACTTAGGGAAATGGTAACAGGATGATATGAGGATAGTAGAGGCACCATGGGGATGTCATTTTAGTGATACAATATACTTTTCATAGAAATATAAACCAAACACTTACAGCTTGTTGTAAAACAAATGTTCCTTTCTTGTTCATAATGACTTTTTCAATGGCTTTAATAGATGTTTCCAAAGCTTTTAAACCTTCTTCTCGATTCATTGTTGTTGTCATGACAACATAGGTTGGTGGTGAAATGGGATTTATCTTAAAGAAGAAAACAGTTTACAATCAAACAGTGAAGTTTTCAAAAGATTATTTATCATTGTATGTTATTTAGGCCTGGCACAGCTATTGTCAGATATAATAACCCTGGCTGTCACATTTTACAATCGTAAACAAAATCTCAGCAAACTTTTGTCATAAATATAAAGCAGTTTTAAAATTCAAAAGGAGTAAAGATCTTTTTGACTTTGAAATTCAAAAATTTCAATAAACCTTCCACTCACTGTCTCAAAGAGATGAGAAATTGAGTGTGTGATGAGAAGAGTGTGGAAGGTTTATTGCAATTTTTATATTTCAATGTCATTGTTGTATAGGCTGTGTTTCATAAAGGCTATGTATCCATTTAAAATCTTGATGTTCTTATTATGATCTTGTAGCATTACCTTTGCTCTCTTTGGTATGGTTCATATAACATAATAAAATGTATTTACAACTAATATCGTAAATGCATTTATTATCATTTCACAATAGTGAAGGTGAATGGGTTCTCTACGTGCTTGGAAATCTCAACACTTGCACAGTTTTGCGAAAGAAGCATTTACGTTCTAATAAAAAAAGGCTTCCTTTAGTAAAGTAAAAAGCTGACAATTATGACTTTATGATTCATGAAAGCCTTCTTATATCCAAACTTAAACCCTCTCTTAACACCCAAGGCAACTCAATCACCCTTCACCTTCTTTAATATACCGCCCTTCTCACTTCATTCCTTCATCTAAACTTCCTACTACCCTCACATGTAATTTAACACCCTGTAATATACTCAGTTAGCAGCATTAGATCACAACAACAATATTAACCGTGGTAAAGCAGTCATTAAGTCAGGAACAAACAAAGGGCAAGACCGTTACGAAATGATTTTTGCTAAAACAAAGAAGCAATGGGTTGTAAAAGCAATGAAAGAAAAGAAAGAGTTCCAGTACATTTATAAACTACTTGCCGAGGTTGTGAATGCATGCAAAACTGAGGAGATTGAACTTGTACATCATGGCGAGAATCTTCCAAAGAACATTTCTAAATCATGTCCACCCAGGAAAGAAGTACTTGTAAAGGAACATCAGTCTAGATTTGCATAAAATGTCAGTGGTGATGCTAGGTTTTGCCATGCCCATATAATATGATGTTGAATCAGTGAAGACAACTTTTGTACATTCATTCTTAAATATTAACATAGCAAAACCAAAATAGTGGAAGCCTTCAAATTGAAATTCCTCTGCAGGGCCAGGTGGAGGAAATGTTTCTCTAATGCAAGTAACTGCACATGATGGCAAGACGACTCTTACTTCTCTACCCAAGATACCCCAGCACCATCGTGTCAACTGTCTATATGCAATATGGCGGTACAGTTTGTCTTCGGGCCCATCATATGCTACCTCATATTGCTGCTTGTACAGGTACCAAGCTGTTTGTAAAACCGACATGTTAAGACAAACCGGCTCAAAACCAGGATGTTGTGTAATGCACAAAGGGACTTCGGTGGTCTCATTCGTTTCTACTGCCTCGAAATTTTTGTCACAAATATTGGAAATCTCTTTGCAGCATAAACATTCCTCATTATTGTCCATTATTTGGCAGTTACCACATTGACACCTGAATATGTTAAAAGAAAGGATCTTGAAAAGTAAATGTCTAGATTTCAATATAGATTGTATCTTACAATAAAAACTTGAAATCTGAAGTATTATGTGTGTGTGGACGTGGTCAACTTCAAAAACTGAAAACGTTCTTTCGAGATCTAATTAATGGTCTAGAATAATATAACATTTTATTACTCACCATTCAAGATTGTCGCGCCGAGGTTCATCCTCAAACTGGTGAGCTTCTGTGTTCATCAGCCGGCCATTCGGGCTCAAACTGATATGGCCGAATATTGTTTGCTGGATTGTCTTCCATTTCACTATCGATTGGTGAATTAGGCCGAGGTTCTTCCAAAAAAGCCATTATAAGCGATTGTTTTGTTTTTTGTGCTAGGCTGTGCGTTATTATTTTACTTTGTTGTTAACACAACTCCAAATCGGTTTGACGATATGACGTCAAAATAATTTCCGCTGACGCTTTCTGTGCCCACGCTGCTAAACCGCAAAACAGCTCAAATAGCGCACTTGAAGACGCGATTTTGTCAAAAATAAAATAGCTGATGTAAAAATTTCAAAATATAGTAACCTTTGCATAAAAATGGAACTTTTAAGACCAACATTATGTGAGGGTGGAGTTCCCCTTTAAAGACGAAACGTAATTATTAAAAAACCTATTGTCTTTCTTTATTTTATTATTGCGATGGCTTTTTTAAATGTCTTATGTTGGGCTATTATGTTCATATTGAAAAAGTAAAAACCATTGTCGTTAAATAATAGAAATAAAAGTTATACGTATAAGAAAATTTTTGCAGTAAATTTATGAATATTTTGCACAAACCTTGTAAGATCAAGCACAGAATGTATTGATTCAACTTTTTCTTCGTTTGGTTCTGGTTCTTTCACGTTAACATTTCCAGGTTAAATGCAAATAAACAAGTTACTCCCAAAACATTGTAGTCATTAGATAATACAGCAATGTTCTTCTTCCGAATTTTCCGCTCTGTTTTGACTCCAATTCAGCGACTGCCAAAAGCAGGCTGGATACAATCAAAGGAAGAACAAAAAGTCTTAATGCTCTCACCCAAATCTCACCAAGAAACCGCACGTACATTGCATATTCCTTCGGTGTTGGATCTATGGACGACTGAACATAGCCATGCAATAGCGCACGAAGTAAAAATCCAGAAAGTACGCCGAATAAAATAAAAAATGCATTTCACTTTCAGCCAATGATAAGCTTAACTCTAGATCACGTGAGATCAAGTTGGGGAATTGTCGTTATTTCGTGAATGCAAGTTTTTGGCAAATTGTGAAAAAAATTCTCTATAAAATTAGCACATACGCAAATTTATACGTTTACAGACGTGATAGAGTCCATTCTATCTAAATAGTTATTTTAACAAATTTTAACTCCATAGTTTGTGCATTTCGACATTTCTACATTTTTACATTTCTACAAATAAAATATTTCTACATATACAGTCAAACTTACAGTTCATCAGGAATTGATGGTAGATTTAAATCATATATTTCATCACCAAAGTCCAAATATAAAACCTCAAGCAAGTTATTAAAAAGTTCAGCATAACTGTCAACGTCTGATTCCATCCCTACTTGATCTTCAACAAGATTCTCCTGCAGAACGTTTTCTTCGCGAGAATTGTTTTCGTCTTGTTGCTCATGCTCCAGTCCTTCGTGATGTTCGTCTTTATTACTGTTCTCATTCTCATTTGATTCAAAATTGGAATTTTTATCGTTTTTGTTCATATCTTTATTTTTTATATGCTAATGTGACTCGCAAACTTTACCAACAAATGTTGCTTTCGATGAGGAGGTGCTCTGTCACAAGCCAGCTACCACTTACTTTCGTGTAATCCAAAGGACGTCCTTATACATCACTGCCTTGCAGAAACTCAGAGACTCAGCAAAACTGTTCACGTAACCAATTACGTTCATCCAGTCGAATGCCAATTGCAGAAAAGACCAGAAAGCCGGACATGGCAAAATGCCATTATTGGGAAAGCGAAGCCCCAAGCGAAGCATTTTTAGTAGTGATGTGTGATGTTATGATGTGCGAGTTGTCGAAACGTCAGTCAACAACAACAAAAACAGTCCTTCTCAAGACTATACCAACCTGGACATCTACATCTATAAACATGTAACGATACTCCCGGGTTCAAACCATTTACTTTAACCAGTAAATGGTTTGTGAACTTGGCAATATTTAGGTGTACATCAATCTATGACGACGAAAGTCGCCAATTCTTCCAACATTCGCTAACCTTTGTGTCGAATCACTCGAATGTATTTGGATTTATCTTACTTGAAATTTATTTCTATAAATGTGTTTCTATCAATGCATTCACAATTTCAAACTTGTCAGATTTTTCATTATACCGCACTAAAGATGGCATAAGTTTGCCCAAACATGTATGCAATAAAAAATTTAAAAAAACTTGTCGTTTCCGATAAATGCATCATTTCAATCGTGCCATTACGAAATTATGGAAATTAGAAAATTATGTTAAAATGTTGAATTTGTTTGTTAAGATCTGGTTTTTGTTTGCGTGTGTGTAAGTCTTCTTTGAGTTTTAGAGAAAATTGAGTGTAATATTCAACTTTGTCTCTATCACACTTATGATATTTGCCATGTAAATATCACTAATATTTCATCAAACCTTTTCCTTTTTCTGATTAACACGTATCAAGCATCCTATGATAAATTCATTAATTCAGCATTTTAAATAACTTTGCATTATTCTTCATTTCAATCGTGCCATTACGAAATTATGGAAATATTCATATAGTTGTAAATATAGGGGAAGCCCCTGATCCATGATGCAAAAAATTGCGGATGAAAAATTCGATGTTTGTTTGAAAATTTAAAAAGTTGAATGATTCCGAAAAGAGTTTATGTAATTTAATTTTTGTTCATTATTATTTTATTTACTTAAATCGAAATCAAACTAACGTGATTGAACAGTTAAGGCTGAAACACACTAGGCAATCGCTTTAGTCGTGCGTTTGAAGGCTGAATGAAACACACTAGGCAATCGCTTTAGTCGCGCGTCTGAAGGCTGAATGAAACACACTAGGTAATCGCTTAAGTCGCGCGTCTGAAGGCTGAATGAAACACACTAGGCAATCGCTTTAGTCGCGCGTCTGAAGGCTGAATGAAACACACTAGGTAATCGCTTTAGTCGCGCGTCTGAAGGCTGAATGAAACACACTAGGTAATCGCTTTAGTCGCGCGTCTGAAGGCTGAATGAAACACACTAGGCAATCGCTTTAGTCGCGCGTCTGAAGGCTGAATGAAACACACTATAATAAAATTTACAACTTCCTCATTCCGACGATTCCGTATTTTTCGCCAACAGCAACAAAACACAAGTTTTTATGTCGACGTCACCGAAATACACGACGTTCTAGAATTCATTAAATAAAAAATCCTTCAGATAAACTTGTCTATGCCAGTATTCTGTTTTAGAACCAAAAGTGAAATGAAGATATGATCTTCGCACTTTGCTGGACAATTTAAGCAATGAAGTCACACTGTGGAGAGCAGGTCAATTTGGTTGGGCTCATGTTTTCTTGTGAAAGGAGTGTCATATGAAAGAATTCGTGAAACGAATGTCATATGAAAGAATTCTTTCATATGACATTCGTTTCAAATATGTCCAATAGACTCAAGTGATGTCCTTCTGATAATAGTTACACAGTCAGACAAAGCAAACATTCCTTTCATGTCATATGAAAGAATTCTTTCATATGACATTTCTTTCAAATATGTCCAATAGACTCAAGTGATGTCCTTCTGATAATAGTTACACAGTCAGACAAAGCAAACATTCCTTCATGTCATATGAAAGAATTCTTTCATATGACATTTCTTTCAAATATGTCCAATAGACTCAAGTGATGTCCTTCTGATAATAGTTACGCAGTCAGACAAAGCAAACATGAAACAGTCATTGTCTAAATGGTGTGAACGCGTGTTTTGTTATTTTATTTTGTTTTGGAGACACATAACTTTTCTTCAATATGCAAAAGACATCATTATGATATCACAATGCATAATTAGCTTTAGAAAAAATTATTTTTTGCTTAAATTAAACATAAATTATTGCCAATGTCACAGGGTCCTAATATTATTGATTTCAATGCATTGGGATGGTGTCATTGTAATTTTCAAATAAAAGACTAATGATTCAATATGACCGTCTTTATACAACATGGGGTACTTAAGGAAATGGTAACAGGATGATATGAGGATAGTAGAGGCACCAGGGGGATGTCATTTTAGTGATACAATATACTTTTCATAGAAATATAAACCAAACACTTACAGCTTGTTGTAAAACAAATGTTCCTTTCTTGCTCATAATGACTTCTTCAATGGCTTTGATAGATGTTTCCAAAGCTTTCAAACCTTCTTCTCGATTCACTGTTGTTGTCATGACAACATAGGTAGGTGGTGAAATGGGATTTATCTTAAAGAAGAAAACAGCTTACAATCATACAGTGAAATTTTCAAAGATTTTTTATCATTGTATGTTATTTAGGCCTGGCACAGCTATTTTAAGATATAATTACATTGCTGTGCACATTTGGAACATCTATAAATAATTAAATTTTGTTTTCGTGAACATCAAAATGTTCATCCTCATTGTGTTTATGTAGCAATATTGCAATTTGATGCATTTCAATGAGAATGATCTGTCATATACAGTGGTGTAAAACAAAGCTTCATGCTGTTCTTGGTTCTTAAGGTTCATTTTCCTTGACAATTCATTTATTGACAGTTGTCTTGTTGTATACAATGTTCAGTAGTATATATAATAATCATTCTACAATTGAAATCTTCACATAAACATATTTAAAAGTTAAAATGACATGATGAATATGAGGTATAGCTCTATTGGTTAAGAACAGTTCATGTACGACATCAGATGATGTTAATGTTGATTCATAATGGTTTCAAAAAAGCTTGGCTGACTGATAATTATGTTAATAAACACATAACCCTGGCTGTCACATGTTACAATCGTAAACAAAATCTCAGCAAACTTTTGCCATAAATATAAAGCAGTTTTAAAATTCAAAAGGAGTAAAGATCTTTTTATAAAGTCTAACGATGCTCAATGATTGCAGTACAATAGAACTTACCTAAATGAAGTCATAATATTAAACGTCGCTCGATTTTGAAACAGAAATACAAACAATTCGTTATGTTGATGATGGCACAAAATATGTACAAAGATATAACGCAGATTGTTTAATCAGTTGCATTTTTCATTGAAAACTTTTCAAGAACCTCAAACGGTAATACTTTAAATACAGACGAACAAGTTTACAGTTTGAGTTTACATGACTGACTTTGCCGATTCTCAGAAACATCCGGTGGAAACTATCGGTATTCGCCGATTATTATTCGATGTCTGTCGTGAAAATAGTTTGTGACGTATTCAGTGACGTAATCAGTTTTCGTACCCCAGGTTACCAAAGTGGGCATTGTACAAATAGAAAATACGACATCGAAAAGTACATTTGTTCTAATTAGTTAATATTTCAATTATCATTATGTTCACGGCACACTTGTACAAATTATAGATATTTATAGTTCATCAGGAATTGAAGGAAGATTTAAATCATATAATTCAATAAGAAGTTCCTATATAAAAGTACCAGTAAAAATATTAAATATTCAGCCTGACTTTCTGCTCCAGGTTCCATCTTTTGATCCTCTGCAACGCTCTCTGGAACGTTTTGTGAACGGGAATTATTTTTTTCGTCTTGATGTTCTTTCTTCAAGCTATAGAGATGTTCCTCTCGTCCGTATTTGATTAAAGTTAGCTCTGGATTTTTTCACCGTTTCCGCTCCTTTCCTTACTTTGTATAAAATCGAATGTAAATACAGTTGACCAACTTTAACAATTTATATCATTCATTCTTCCACAGCTACATGACACACCAGTGCAATGCAACAACCACGATGAACAGACATTCAACAACGTTTGTCGCGGACACAAAACGCAGCATGGTTATCTACACACGTCTTTACATAATACAAACAATAATGTCGTAAGTGGTGCCATGGAAAGAAAAATTTAAAATCTTTTCGTACAATACAAAGAAAATGCCGCAGCTCATTTCCCCTAGAGATAATTTGCAATGTATATTTTAATTGGATTACATGCTGGTTTTGGTGTATGTCAACGAAGATGTTCGAGTTAAACCTAAGTGATGAAATACACGATATAATGCGTTCTCATACAATTTAGAGAACAATTATCACTTTTATACCCCTTGAGTGAAAGCAATAAATTAAAACGAATTACGCGAAGACAGCAACGCATTTACCCCTGAAAACAGTAGAGTAAATGCTCTTGATGAACTCTGAATATTTTTCTGGTTTTATTGATAAGCGTATGTAAACAAAACACGATAAATTGACAGTTTAGCTGGCGACCAGTTTATGCCATTGCAGACGCACTTCCTGTTCAAAGCCTGTCTCTCTTAGGAAACAGCGTCTTGTTTGGAGCTAAATTCAGCATTTTTGGCAAAGTTATCTAAATAATGCTCAGTTCCCTTACTTGCATCCAAATTTGGTGGTTGATATAGCCACTCAATAAAGATATGCTATGCGATCCACGAAAAAATTACATTTTATTACAAATGAAATGACAGCCCTACTCCGTCTAGTTTCATAAAAGAAATAACATACATAATATATCCAAAGTTTTAACTTGATTAAATTGATGCTCACCATCGAAAGCAACAATCTCAAGTCGGTAATAAACTGAATGATGTGAAGTTTTGAATTACTCGTTTGTAGATGTTGATTTTTAGGTTAGTGCAAATCCTGTGAAGAGCCGTTAAGATTACGTGAATTTGAAGTTTCGAAAAGTCAGTCAATACCAACACCGATTATAAATCGATCACTCAATATAAATATTACAGTCCAACTTATAATTGGACAGATAAATGGACTGTTGCACCAACTGGTGCACTTTTTCCCCACCGTGACGTAGTGATTCACTATCTAGCCACCGTGACGTAGTAATACAAATTCAGCTCAGTGTAGCTGGATGATCAAACAAAATTTCGCTAAAAATTTTGACACATAAAAACGCCATATTTAGCGACGCATTTTTAATAATGCGGCTGTAATCAATATGATACTCACATGTAAACAATCTACGAAGGCTTTTAACAATATTTCTCAATCATCAATGTACATTTGTTGTCAATATATTGTCAGTGTTAAGGTATTTAAAGCATTCAGAAACTATAAACGTTCCAATCTGATATATTTCTTGCATTTTGCTCGTATTGATTGTAAGTTATAATATGTTGTGAAAGATTAACTATTCAATTTTATGACTGATGCACTCGCATCAGTTGCACCAGCCTGGATCCGCCCCTACCGCACACTTGTGAACTTGCCGCGCGTACTTGTTATTCGTGACAAGTGTTATCGACAAAATTTCCTAGTGTGCGCGTGACACGTGACAAATGACAAATGAATGACAAATGTTGTTCAAAACTTCCGCGCACATTGGGAAATTTTGTCCATCGCAATTATCATGTAAACTTCCTATATTTATTCACTTCGCACTGAAGATGGCATAAAGTATGCCGAAACATGATTGCTTTAAAAAAATTTGTCGTTTATTTTAAATGTGTTATAACCATTGTGCTCTTACGAAATTATGGAGAAGGTTATTAATAATGCTACATTAATTAATTGTCAATTAGTAACAAAAGATCTGGACAAACATAACAGGTCCTTGAAAGCTTCCGTTCTTGAAACAGAATGCGTTTTCAAATGCTTTGCATTTCACACTAATTTATCAGTAATGAATGGTTGTTTATACGATAATAAAGGGATTTCATCTTTTTATGTAAATGAGGGCATAAGAGCGCAACAAGATAAGATCATAAGAATTTAATTTTTCACAAATAGAAAATACGACATCGAAAAGTACATGTTCTAATTAGTTAATATTTCAATTATTATTATGTTCACGGCACACTTGTACAAATTATAGATATTTAAAGTTCATCAGGAATTGAAGAAAAATTTAAATCATACAATTCAATAAGAAGTTCCAAATATAAAAGTACGAGTAAAAATATTAAACATTCCAGTCTGATTCTTTCTGCTCCAGGTTCCATCCCTTGATCCTCTGCAACGCTCTCTGCAACGTTTTGTGAACGGGAAGTATTTTTTTCGTCTTGATGTACTTTCTTCAAGCTCTCGCGATGTTCCTCTTGTCCGTATTTGATGAAAGTTAGTTCTGGATTTTTTCTCCGTTTTCGCTCCTTTCCTTATTTTTGTATTACAAAATCACAGTTTTCGCGTTTTTATTCCTTTTACAAACTTCTGATTAAGGCAGAATTTTTATAACCAGTAGAGACTTTTAACCCTGAAGCTCTGTTTTTTTGGCCTTGGTAACGACTGAAAAATAAGATGGAAAGTTGTACTGATAAGCATCGGTGGAAAAAATGTACCACTACAGTTTGTATCACACGCCCACGGTGTTTCAAATCCTTTTATAAAAATTCTAACATCCTGTTTATTTGTACCAATTGATTAAACGGACACTAAATGCGATTAACGGATTAAATGTATCACAACGGACACTAATAGCCATACGTAAAATACCACGAACATCGAGTCATGTATTAAGGAATAAGGCTGCGTTTACACAATACCAGATTCGTTCATCACGACATCTTCATTTGCTTTAAAGGGTTAACTGTTTGGAGTATTAGCTTATTAATTTTAGCATCTCAAATGATTTTCGTTTTAAAATATGTAGGTATGTGTAATGTAATGGTCAAGAAATGTACCGAACTGAGAGTGTAGTAGAGCCTATTATGAAAGAGTATGTATCAATTTGATAACCGCTACATGACCTGAGAGACCTCTACATAACCTCTACATGACCTCTACATGACCTCTACATGAGAGTGTAGTAGAGCTTATTATGAAAGAGTATGTATCAATTTGATAACCGCTACATGATTTCGGAATAAACTCACACGAACATATAATTATACAACTATAAATATTTCGGCTTCATAGATACTGGACCACAAACGTCCACAAGAGTTTTAGAAGAATTATAAATTTTATCAGGACAACTCAACTAATGAACTAACAGGAAGTTTTGCTTTGACAAGTTAAACTCATTAAATCATCACTCTGCTTACTCTGTTCATTTTACAGAAGAAAATTTCGTTCGATTTATCGGTGAAGGACGAAGATTTTACTCTTCACAAAGCGTTTCGACGCCAAATGACGATAGAGTATTTATCTAATAAAACAGTTTTCATTCAAAATAGCAATGAATTTTATGTTAAATTTGCGAGGACGTCTCTATAATTGTCGCAAATAAAGCACCGGAAGTGGATATACTTATGCTCAATCGAGCTTGCCGTCGGATATACTTATGCTCAATCGAGCTTGCTTATGCTCAACCGAGCTATTTATGCTCAATCGAGCTTGCCGTCGGCTCTCCGAGCGCATGGCACTTATGTAGCAGTGGATTTTCATATTTTAAGAAACAAACATTACAGTTTGCGAAAGACACGGACTTATACGTCCAATAAGTCCCATTCTCCTCTGTTTAATGTAATGTGTAATCAGTCCTACACAACAAGCTTGGTGTGTTAACTGTATCCACACAAAAAATATTTAAAAAATGGCCAATCTATAGAAATATTTGTGTTTATTTGCCAAAACGCTTCCGTAGGAATATATTACGATCTGGCTGGAGAAACATGGCCGCCGGATTGTAGAACTCAAAACAGGGGAGACGAACATCACAGGCTCCGACCATTGTTCCGACATCGAGTGGCGCTTCATTCTTTATTCTCTGACGTATTGCAATATGTAAATTATTTGATGTTGTATCGTTTTTCCTCTGCCATGGTGCCGTCCTTTCGTCTGATTTAAGTCAGAGTTTACAGTCGTTTCTAGTTCAACTGTATCCTTATTTGAAGCGGTTAAGCAGTTATTACGCGTTAGATAGTTTGAAAACTGAAAATTTTGTCAATTGCAATATGTAAATTATTCGATGTTGTATCGTTTTTCCTCTGCCATGGTGCCGTCCTTTCGTCTGACTTAAGTCAGAGTTTACAGTCGTTTCTAGTTCAACTGTATCCTTATTTGAAGCGGTTAAGCAGTTATTACGCGTTAGATAGTTTGAAAATCTGAAAATTTTGTCAATTGCAATATGTAAATTATTCGATGTTGTATCGTTTTTCCTCTGCCATGGTGCCGTCCTTTCGTCTGACTTAAGTCAGAGTTTACAGTCGTTTCTAGTTCAACTGTATCCTTCTTTGAAGCGGTTAAGCAGTTATTACGC